GCAATCCACTCACCTCAGCCTCCCAAAGGCGCAGGATGACAGGCTGAGCCACCGAGCCCGATTTGACTCTGCATTTCTAAGAATCTTCCTTCACGTTGATTTTGCTGGTCCATGCACCACACTTTGAATAAGGATTATCATTTGATTACTGGTAAGAGAATTTTGGGCAGATATAGTATCTTCTGGATACCTATACATCAACCCATGTTCCATGACATTTCAAATTTCTTGTTTTGCTATAAAAACAGATGTTAGTTTTAGTTTTAGTCTTAGTTTTTTTTTCAAAGACAAGGTTTCACTCTGTTACCCAGGCTAGAGTACAGTGGCACACTCACAGCTCACTCCAGCCTCGAATTCTTGGGCTGCTGCCTCAGCCTCACCAGCAGCTAGGACTACAGGCACATGCTGCCAAGCCCGTATACTTTTGTTTTTTATAGAAATGGGGTCTCACTCTTGCCCAGGCTGGTCTTGAACTCCTGGCCCCAAGCAATTCTCCTGCCTCAGCTTCCCAAAGTGCTGGATTATAGGTGTGAGCCACCACACCCAGGCAGATGTTAGTTTTAAAAAGCATAGTCATTCTTCCCCAAATGCTAAGTGGTGGGTGAGATAAGATCAGGGACAGCTCAGAGGGGAATCCCAAAACTTCATTTTTTATAATGGTTTCCTGTATCCAATCCTCAAATACAAATAAAAAGGGAAAACTTTCTTTCCCTTTCACGACATATTTTCTACGGTTGCCAGCATGGAGCAGAATTGCTTGAATTTTCTTATAATCCCTCTTCATGGCTCCTGACCTCCTTAGTTGGAGTTGCTTAATACCCAAATAGAAGGTAGTTCTTATTTCACCATCTCCATACAATTTCATGATTTGCCTCAATATCCAGAGTTCTGCAAAGGGTGAAAACGGGTTAGAGAAGTAACAGGATCTCATCCATTCCTGCTTAGCTCACCACTTCCTTTTTCCCAGCTCTCAATGCCTGATGCCAAGTCCACACTCACTGTGATTCCATGAAAATGTATGTTTCCTTTATTGAATTGGAACTTGTATATGCATTGTCTCAATGTTTCCTCCCAGTTCTTCACCATGACTTTTGCTGCTTCTAATAGTAAACCTCTTTAAACAGGACAATTTTCCTGTTTTGCAGATAACATTGTACTAAGGTTCTGATGGCATTAACATATTAAGAGAACTTGGAGGGTTTGGTTGTTTGTTCTTTTACTTAAGGGTGAGGGATTTGAGCAGTGGTTGACTCAACCTGAGAAAGAAGCTATCTTTCTGTTCCAGTGTCTAAATGTATAAATGAGAATTAGAGACACTTTATAAAGGATTTACTCTGAAAAATATGAAAGACACTTTTTAAAAACTCACCTTTTACAGTATTTTGCATTGGACTGCATCATAAAACTTGGTGATGGAATATTCCTAAAGCTATAAAATTAAAGGATGCTTGGGGTAGCAATTAGTTTACCTCTGTTTTCTGGAATCTTACATGCCTCATCCATTGATTGCATTTTCTTTCAGAATTATAGGTTTGTTTGTTTTTTCTGAGTGAGAGACTCAGTCTGTCGCCCAGGCTGGAGTGCAATGGCATGCTCACGGCCACCCCAGCATCTTCCTGCTGGGCTCCAGTGAACCTTCCGCCTCAGCCTTCCAAGTAGCCAGAATTACAGGCATTGTGCTACCACACCTGGCTAATTATTTATTTATTTATTGTAGAGACGAGGTCTCATCATTTTGCCCAGGCTGGTCTCAAACCCGCGGGCTGAGACAATCCACTCACCTCAGCCTCCCAAAGTGAGATTGCAGGCCGAGCCACCAAGCCGGGCCTAGAATTGTAATTTAATGAAGAAAAGCTTGGATATAAAATACTGATTATCTCAATTAGGTAAAACTGCCTTTATGGAAATATTTCCCTTTTTCTTTGTTTTTAGGTTGGCGTTGCAAACGGTATGGTCACCGAACAGGCGACAAAGAATGCCCTTTCTTTATCAAAGGCAACCAAAAGTTAGAACAGTTCAGAGTAGTAAGTAAAACCTAAAAGTATCAATTTACATTTATCAGAGATGGTGAAACTCAATCAGAAAGTCACCAGTGCACTCAATGGTCACATAAAATACATTACCAGAAGCCTTTTGGCCAAAGTGTCTGCTGTTAACTACATGCCTACTAAATTGCATTTGTGTGACAAATTAGCCTTTAACAAAAAAATTGATCTTATTGAAGTTACAACTTGGAACAGTGACTCTTTTTCTAAAGCAGATGTTATCTGTTCAGCCCACTTTTTAAAATATATTAAAAAAGTCATAAATAAAATCAGAAATTTAATTTCTTAGTCTTTAAAGATTACATGGCTTTATTGTAAGATAAAAGAGTCTGTATATTTTTCCTTTAGATGATACTTATTCCTTGTATTTTTCTAACTTGGATATCCTTTTTGTAGCTTTAATGAGTTTTCAGTGATGTGACCCTTAAAAAGGATTAGGACATGTTGAACTATTACAAGGCTACATCAAATAGTAAAAACAAAACTGGTTTCTGTTACATAGGGATTTAATTTTATAACCAGTAATCCATGAGACCTAACCAAACCTTAACCTTCTCTGACCCTTAAGGCACATGAAGATCCCATGTATGACATCATACGAGACAATAAAAGACATGAAAAGGATGTAAGGTGAGATTGTCCTGATAACAATATTCTTATGAATTTTTGTTTTCGAGTCAGGATCTCACCATGTCACCAAAGCGAGAGCCTTGATCTCCTTGGGTTCAGGTGATCCTTCCATCTCAGCTTCCTGAGTAGCTGGGAGTACAGGTGCATACCACTACAACTGGCTAATTTTATTATTTTTTTGTAGATGGGGTCTTGCTGTGTTGTCTAGGCTGGTCCTGAACTCTTGGGCTCAAGCAATCCTCCTGCTTTGGCCTCCCAAAATGCTGGGATTACAGGTATGAGCCATCATGCCTGGCTTCATAATATTTTAAGCTATGTAAAGTTGAAAAAAACTGATCGGGCACAGTGGCTTACACCTGTAATCCCAACATTTTGGGAGGCCAAGGCAGGAGGATCACTGGAGCCTAGGAGTTTGAGACCTGCCTAGGCAACATAGGGAGACTCTATCTCTACAAAAAGAAAAAAAAATTAGCTGGGTATAGTGGTGTGCACCTGTAGTCCCAGCTACTTGGGAGGCTGAAGCAGAAAGATCACCTGCTGTGCCACTGCACTCCACCCTGGGCTACACAGTGAGACTCCAACTCAAAAAGAAAAAGAAAAAATCCACTCTAGTGTTAGGGGAATGGTATAGTGAACATGGCACTTAGTGAAATATGTGGCGGTCAGGAGTCATGGCTGAAAGTGCCAGTGTCAGGGAATGAGCAGAGCAGCCTCCTTCTACTGGTGGGTTTAAGCTAATACAAGTAGAAGGAGGCTGCTCTGCTCATTCCCTGACACTGGCACTTTCAGCCATTGGACCACGGGAATTGATGATAGCAACCCACATTGGGCTATGTCTTTGTACAGTACAGTTGGCTCTTGTGTGTGATTTAGTTTGTCTTCTCCAACGTCTTTAAGGATATGAGTTTTTGTTAAAAAGTATTCTTAGACATGATTAGAGAGAGGGTGAAAAAACAAGTTGGTTTTTTCTAAATTGGTTACTTTAAATGGTAATTGTTGAGGAGGTATATTATCTAATATGAAATTGAAAAGTGGTGGAATGGTTTAGTAAAGTATGCATCAGTTAGAAAGTATAATTGTAAGGACTGTAGGAACATGCAAAAATGTATAGGACAATGAAAATAATACAAAATGGCTTGTATACTGGTTATAGTCATGTGAAATAGGCATTCAGGTGGATAAGAATGAGGGAAAAGGGTAAAAATAAATACTGTCTTTGTGATGTAGGTATTTGTGACTCTCCCATACTACTTTTATATCATACATTTTATCTTTAAAAATTGCCTTAAGTTAAAGTTAAAAATCATAGTTCTTGTTTGTTTAGGATACAGCAGTTAAAACAGTTATTGGAGGATTCCACCTCAGATGAAGATGGGAGCAGCTCCAGTTCCTCAGATTGTAAAGAGAAACACAAGAAAAGAAAAAAGAAAGAAAAGCACAAGAAAAGGAAGAAAGAAAAGAGAAAAAAGAAGAAACGAAAGCACAAGTCTTCCAAGTCAAATGAAAGTTCTGACTCAGAGTGACAAGGACTTCACTTGTTCAACATCCTCTTCTCAAAAGTCAAACACTGTGACCAAGAACAGAGGAGATGCCATTGGAGAGAGTACTAGGATGGAGAGACACCAAGAGAGGAGGAAATGTGAGGTCACAGCTGTGAGTTCCCCCCACCTTTCCATGAAGATGTGACCCTCAGGAGAGTGCGTTGTCTCTACGCGGGTGCTTGTTCTGACAGCGGCTGATTTCAGGCAGGAAAGCTTATTCAGTGTCCTCCTCCCTGCTGGTCGCATGAGTTTATGATTCCTGTGAAACAGCCCCCTGCAGGGTGGCAGGACTAAGGGTACCTCTGAGGAAGGTCTTCCAGGCTCCGCACAACTTGTGCCCTACACAGGGGGGCGACCCAGTTCCCATAGACTTCAGGCTGGAGTCATCTGTTATTATTGAGGAAAATAAAAGCTCATTATTTATTTTTTAAATGGATTTTATTTATTTACTGATGAGTAATACATGCATGTGGTCCAGATTTTGAAGGAACAGAAGGTTTAATCATGAAACTTTCTTCCTTTCTACCCCAGTTCTGTTTCCTATAGGCTATAAATGGCATCTGTTTCTTAAAAAGTCATCCAGAGGTAGTTTATGTATGGCTTTTCTTACACAAATGCTATGCACATTCACCTGCACGTTGTTACATTTTAACCTCAGAAGCATGAACTTAGCAGTGGTCAGTATCTGAGGGGGATGGATCCAGAACCACCTCAGTCCCCATAACACCCCCAGACACTTAAAATCCATGAATGCTCAAGTCCCTTATAAAAATGGCATAGTATTTGCATTTTACCTATGCACCATGTACTTTAATTCATCTCTAGATTACTTTTTTTTGAGTCTGGGTCTCACTCTGTCACCCAAGCTGGAGTGCAGTGGACTATCATGGCTCACTGCTGTCTTGACTTCCTGAACTCAGTCAATCCTACCGCCTCAGCCTCCCCAGTAGCTGGGACTACAGGTAAATGCCACCATGCCCAAGTAATATTTTTATTTTTTATAGAGATATGGTCTTACTATGCTGTCCAGGCTGGTCTCAAACTCGTGGGCTCAAGCAATCCTCCTACCTCAGCCTCCCAAAGTGCTGGAATTATAGGTATGAGCCACTATACCTGGCCTCTAGGTTATTGCTAATACCTAATACAATGTGAATAGTTGTTATAATGTATTGTTTAGGGAATAGTGACAAGAAAAAAAGTCTGTACATGTTCAGTAGAGACACAACCATCCATTTAGTTTTTCAACCTGCTGATATGGAGGGCCCACTGTTTTTCAACATCAAGTTCATTTGGCCTCGCTGCCATATAAAAATTGTGCATTTATATTCGCCTGACAGGATTTGTTGATTTAGGGGACAAGTTCCTATAAATGACAATGAAGAATTCTGTGTGGGTACCTTCTATTTAACTTGCTTCTCACTGCCAGAGTCCCATGATTTCACAGTGATTGACTCAGACAGTTTTTTTTTTTTTTTTGAGTTGGAGTCTCACTCCGTCGCCCAGACTGGAGTGCAGTGGCTGCTCCTGGCCACCGCAGCCTTGACCCGCTGGGCTCTGGTGATCCTTCCACCTCAGCCTTGAGTAGCCAGAATTACAGGTGCACGCTACCATGCCCGGCTGATTTTTGATTTATTGTAGAGATGAGGTCTTACCAAGTTGCCCAGGCGGGTCTCGAACCTGCGGACTCAGGCAATCCACTCACCTCAGCCTCCCAAAGCACAGGATTACAAACTGAGCCACCGAGCCCGGCGACTCAGAAAGTTTATAGGGGATTTAGCATACTGGTTTTATATATATAAAAAAACCAGGACAGGCTCAGACCACCCTCCTCCAACTCTCAACAATGAATGCTCTGTGCATGGTCTCAGAATGGCACCCCAGGAACACAACCAGTCAAGACTGGAATGGCCAGGACATTTTATTGCTAAATACTGTAAGGCCAATAGATTCAGCCATACTTTTTTCCTTGTTATCCTTTGTCAGCATTCAAGACATAGGCCATCAGTCCTCTGCCATATATCCCAGTATTTTCTGCCCAGTTACAGCCTGTCCTGTTCTTCCAGGAATTTGTTACTGGCCCTCCATAATCCTATTCATGATAAAAGCATTTTTATACAACATGAAAGAGTCTACATGCATGATTCTCAAATTTTTGAGGCATCAAATTAACTGGCGTCCTTGTTAAGATGCAAGTTCCTGTGTTCCACTCACAGACTTCCAGAGTTTCTTATTTACTAAGTCTGGAGTGGACCTATGAATTTGCCTTGCTAACAATTTCCCAAGTGATGCTGATGCCGTTGGTTTGGGGACCCCACTTGGAGAACCAGGGCTCTGGCTCTCTTGCTGAAGCCTTCTTCCAGTCCTACTTTAACTGGAGTCTGGCCATCCATCCTCTGCAACCCTTGCAAGTTAATTGTCCCTTCTCCCTGACTCTGGTTTTTCTCCGTCACTGTTTAAACCTTCATTCTCAGACATCTCTTTCAGGATCTTCATTTTCCACTCTTATCCAGGAAAACAATATAAACCCTCAGACCTCCCTTCACCAACACATCTTCCCAACCTGTCGTGGTTGTGATAGGCAGAATTCTAAAACTGCCCATGATTTATCTGCTTCATCTTCAGTACTGTTAATAGGATGGAGTTTCTTCCTGTGATTAGATTATGTTACAAGCACAAGGAAAGGGAGATGATGTGGGTATTCCTAACCAAATCACAAAAACCCTTTCAATCTCCAGAGTTACCTTGGCTGGTAACCAAAGATAAGCTCAGAGAGATTCTAAGCCACATGCTGAGGGGTGTAGCAGACTCTAATTAGAGGACCTTGGACAACAGCCTGCAAGGAAATAGAGCTCTCAGTCCTACAACCGAAAGGAACTGAACGTTGCTAACCTCAGTGATCTTGTATGTATATTCTTCCCCAGAGTCTCCAGATGAAAGTCCAACCCTTACTGACACCTTGGTTTTTGGCTTGTGCTGGTTGTTTGAAGCCTGTAAGTTTGTGGTAAAGTGTTCATGGAACAATATAAAGCTGAAAAAGAAATGTAATTAGCCTTCCCTCGTCCTCTCTGGCCAGTCCTCCTCCTGTGCTGTAGACCCCTCCATCAGCCGGCAATAGAGAGCAGTGGCTAGTGCACTGGCCCTGGATCAGACCACCTGGGTTTGAGGCCCAGCTGTGCCTTTGCTAGCTGTGAGAGTTGCTTGGCCTGTCTGTGTTGCCATTTTCTTGACTGGTAATATTTACCTCATAGACATGTAGTGAGAATGAGATGATTTGATATTTGTAAAGCATTTATAAACATCAAAAGAAGAGAGTTTGGCACAATTTAATTGCTAAATAAATGTTTGCTGCTTCTGCTACTAGTTGCACAGCTATCATCATCTAATCCTACTTGCTAAGGGAGTTTCTTCCACTCATGTCTTCAAACTTTTTTTTTCTGAGACGGTGTTTATTCTGTCACCCAGGCTGGAGTGCAGTATTTACTCTGTCACTGCAGCCTTGAACTCCTGGGCTGAAGTAATCCTGCTACTTCAGCTTCCCTAGTAGCTGGGACTACAGGTGTGCATCACCACACTTGACTAATTTCTGTAGTGGCAGGGTCTCACTTTGTTACCCAGGCTGGTCTCAAACCCATGGCCTCAAGCAATCCTCCTGCCTTAGCCTCCCTAAGTGCTGAGATTACAGATGTGAGACACTGTGCCCAGCCCAAATTCTTCCTTTCTACTGCTATCTTAATACCAGCAATGTGTTTTAAAATTATAAAAACAATACATGCCCATAAAGAGTTCACAGTCCCAAGCCATTACAGATTAAAAAGTGAAAGAGGAATCTATTTATGAAGCTCTGACACAGCCTTCCATATTCTTATAAAAATGCACTAACAAACACAGATGCTCAGTTTTGTGGAGGTATTTTTGGCTAGTTTTACATAACTGAAAATCACTAGGACTACTGTTCTATGACTTCATTTCACTCACTGTATCTTAGCAACCTTTCTGCTTACTATAAGCTTCAAATGGCTACAAAATTCCGTAGTTTGAATGGGACATGATTCATTTAATGATTACTCTAATATTTAGCAAAATTCAATTCTTTCCTATTTGTCATTCCTACAAATTAGATTGAAAAGGAAACCCTTGAGTAAATATACTAGTGTACATGGATAAGTATTTAAATAGAAGTTTCCTAATTTTTTAATGGAATTATGTTTTAATGTTCATAGATACTACCAAACTGCCCTCAAAAAGGGGCTACCAATTTCCCCATTCTCTTACAGTACACAATGGGGTCTATTTCCCTACCCAGCAGCATTTACAAAAGCTCAAGATTCTCTTTAAAAAAAAAAAATCCTCCCTTGATCCCATATCTCCATCTAGCTTTTTGCTCTCTTTTACATCACTGTTTGTCAACCTTGGTCTTATTTTAGGCACTACATAATTCTCAGTGGTAGGGTTCTATTCTCTGCATTGTATAATATTTTGAAGCATTCCAGGCCTCTAACCAGTTGATGTTACTAACACATCCTCCAGTGGTAACAACCAAAAATATCCTCAAATATCCATATGTGCAAGAACACCATTGGAATTACACTAAAAAAAAACCCAAAAAAAATCCACTCTAAATGGATTAGAGACTTAAACGTAAGAACTGAAATAAAATAAAAATAAAAAAGGGGGCAACCCCTTCGGGTCCCCTCCCACTGTGGGAGCTTTTCTGTTCTCTCACTAAATCCTGTTTTCTAAAAAAAAAAAAAAAAAAAAAAAACACTATTGGACTTACACAAAACAAAAAACAAACAAAAAAAATCCACTCAAAATGAATTAAAGACTTAAATGTAAGAGCTGAAATTAAATTCTTAGGAGAAAACAGAGAAAAGACTTTTTGACATTGGCCTTAGGGATGACTTCTTAGATATGATTTTGAAGGCACAGGTAACAAAAGGAAAAACAGACAAGTGGGATTATTTCAAACTAAAAAGCTTCTGCACAGAAAAGGAAGCATCAACAAAATGAAAAGGCAAAACATGGAAAGGGGAACAATATTTACAAACTATATCTAATCAGGGTTTATTATCCAAAATACGTAAGAAACTCCTATAAATCAATAGCAAACACTCATAACCCACTTAAAAGTAGGCAAAGAAACTGAATAGACATTTTTTCCAAAGACTGGTCAACAGACATACAAAAAGGGCTTAACAACACTACTCATCAGACAAATGCAAATCAAAAAGTATCACCTCATACCTCTTAGGATAACTTTTTTTTTTTTTAAAGATAGCACGTTAATGAAGACATGGAAAAAAGCCCTTGTACACTGTCGATGGGAAAGTAAAGCGGTGTAACTACTGTGGAAAACCATATCGAAGTTTCTTTAAAAGTTAAAATTGAACCACAAGATACAAAAATCCCTCTTCTGGGTACATACCCAAAGG